TATATGAAGAATTATACAGAATGACTGAGTGAGGTTTATTCCATGGATATAAGATGAGTTTAATATTTGAAAATCAATCAATGATATCCAGCATATTAATAGGCTAAAGGAGAAAAATTACATGGTCATATCAATTGATGAAGAAAACTATTTGACAATATTCAATGCCCATTCATGATTTTTTTAAAAAACACACAAATCTAAAACTATATGGTAATTTCTGTGACATGATAAAGAGCATCTACAAAAAATCTAGTATCCAGAATAAAGAACTTTCAAAACTCAACAATACAAAACAATCCATTTAGAAAATGAGCAAAAGATATGAATAAAAATGTGAATAGTCATTTCACCAAAGACAATATATATATGGAAAATAAGTACATGAGAAAGATGTTCAACAACATTAGTCATTAGGGAAATGCAAATTTAAATCATAAAGAGATGTCACTACATATCTATCACAATGGCTAGAATAAAAAAGTGTGGTAATACCAATTGCTGGCGAGGATGTGGAGAAACCCAACCATTCGCATATTGCTGATAAGAATATAAAATGGTACAGTCACTCAGGAAAGAAGTTTGTCGGTTTCTTAGAAAACTAAACATGCAACTACCATTTGACCCAGCAATTGCACTCCTGGGCATCTATCCCAGAAAAATGAAAATTCATGTTCACACAAAAACCTATAAATGAATGTTCATAGCAGCTTTATTTGTAATAGCCAAAAAAAAACTAGAAACTCAAATGTCCTTTAACAGATGACTGGTTAAACAATCTGGTGCATCCATACCATGGAATAGCTCTATAAGAAAAAAATATAAGTATTGATAAATGCAACAACTTAGAATCCCCAAAGAATCGTACTGGGTGAAAAAAAATACCAGATTAGATATTGTACTGTTCCATATTATTCCATAGAGCAAATAGCAAAATTACAGAAATAGGTATCAGATTAGTGGTTGCCAGGGATTAAGGAGGGGGTGGGAGGGAAATGGGGCTGGCTATAAAAGGCAATAGGAGGGATATCTGTTGTGGTAAAGTGTCCTATATCTTGGTTGTATCTATGTCAATCCTTGGTTGTGACATTGTACTATAGTTTTGCAAGATGTTAACCACTGGGGAGGAGCTCTGGTAGCATAGTGCCTAAGGCTTTTGGCTGCTAACCAGAAGGCTGGTGGTTCAAACCTACCAGCCACTCTTGGAAGGAAGGTTGGGCAATCTACTTCCGTAGTGATACTGCCTCAGAAACCCAAAGAGGGGTCACCATGAGTCGGATACGACTCGACAGCAGTGAGTTTTAACCATTGGGGGAAGGTAAAGCACACAGGATCTCTGTATTATTTCTTACAACCACACAAGCATCTACAATTATCTCAAGCAAGTTTAATTTTTTTTTTTAATTTTATTTTGATTTGGGTGAAGATTTACAGAGTAAATTCACTTTTCATACAGCAGTTCACATATACTTTGTCTCATGTCATTGACCAAAATTT